ATTAGAGCCATGACACATGAAACTACCTGAATCAGCATTTACAGTAGCTGCTAGCTCTGATGTTTCCCTGTATTCCTTCTGCAATGCCAGTGTGAAAGGCAGAGAGAAAAGGAATCTGTCTCGTGCTGATTTGCCTGAGGGCTGTTAAGGCCAGGAAGGAGGATTAGCTGCAGTCTGACTCAGCCACTCTGCACGGGGATTAGGAAGGGGAGAAAAGGGGAGAGCCTGGTGGTGAAAGACTCACTTGTAATTGTTGTTGATGTCAGAGACACGCCAGACGTTCTGTAAGTCAAAGCCCATCCTCACCAGCTCCATCTCAAAGCGGTACCTCACGTGGTCTCCTGAGGAACAGAGCACAGGGAGTCACTGACAGCACTCATCAGATCCAAACCTGTTCATGGCAGCTACATAGGAGCTATCCTAGACTGGAAAGAATCATAGAACCACTGAATAGTTTGAGTTGGGAGAGACCTTAAAGCTAATCTCATTCCAACACCCCAATATGGGAAGGGACATCTTCCACTCGTCCAGGTTGCCCCAAGCCCTGTCCATATCATGTCATATGTTTCAGAAAATCAAGTGTTTTTTGGACAACAAACACAACACAGAGAGGCCTCACTGACATGGTGCAATGGGGAAGAACAAACTGGCTCCAAAACAGTTGGTGGCAGGTGCACCAAGGGACCATGAGACACGGACACCCATTGAATGGGTGTAGGAAATCTAAGACACCAGCTGCTCCAAAGATGCACCAGGAATCAACACCTGCATCCCTGTCCCATGTGTTACACTCCCCTGGGGCACTACTCCTGGTGCCTGGCCCTTCTTGGAGATGGGATAATGAACTGGACTTCAGATCCTCACACCAACTGTGTTCAGCCCCCCCCAGCCCATCAGCCTTCCTGCAGCACCTCTCTGGACATCACAGAATCATGGAATGGATTGGATAGGAAAGGACCTTAAAGATCCTTCAGTTCCACTCCCTGCCATGGGCAGGGACACCTTCCACAGGATCAAGATGCTCCAAGCCCCATCCAACCTGCCTGGAACACTTCCAGGGATGGAGCAGACACAGCTTCTCTGTGCCAGTGCCTCCAGCACTCTCATTCCTCATATCCAATCCAAACTGACTCTCCTGCAGTGTGACTCCATCTTCTCTTGCCCTGCCACAACAGACCCTGCTAAAAATGTTTGTCCCCATCTTTCCTTCAGGCCTCCTTCAAGCACCAGAAGGGCAATGAACTGAAATACAAGTGAAATACCAAAACAAGTAATAATTCATTTGAAAGGATGTGAGAAACAAAAAATATGGATGAAATTTTTCTTTCTGAGCTTCAGAGAAGCTTAATATAAATACAAAACAATATCTAATAATATGCTAGGTGGGCAAGTGATGGACTTGTATAGTCCTGGAATGGTTTGGGTTGGGACATTAAAGATCATTTAGCTCCAACCCCTGCCACGGGCAGGGACACCTTCCACCAGATCAGGCTGCTCCAAGTACCATTCAACCTTCCTGGAACACTCCCAGGGATGGAGCAGCCACAGCTTCTCTGGGCAACCTGTGCCACTGCCTCAGCACCCTCACAGGGAACAATTCCTTCCCATCTAACCCTGACCTCCTTCAGTTTAAACCCATTCCCCCTTGTCCTGGTCACTCTCTGCCCATATTAAGTCCCTCTCCCTCCATTTATAAACCCCTTTTAGGCACTGGAAGGGTTTCTAAGCTCTCCCCAGAGCCTTCCCTTCTCCAGGCAGAACCTCCCCAGCTCTCCCAGCCTGGCTCCAGAGCAGAGGTGCTCCAGCCCTTCATGGCAAGGAGAAACTCTAGGGCAGCTGGATGGCAGCAGGGATTGTGCTACAGAAGCTAACAGACTTGTCCCTCACAGGGATTCCTCTGCTTATTTGTCAAGTCACATCACTTCTCACTTCATGGCACAGAGCAGCATGGAAACAGCCTCCAGACATCAATGGGGGAGTGTGGTGGGGTTCATTTAATCCACTGTTGCCCTTCTGGCAGCTTCCAAAGTGGATGTCAGGAGCCTCACAGCAAGGAGTACTGAGCAGCCACCTCAGGTGGTTCCTTCCTCCACACTGTTCCCAGACACTGACTCTGGGTTTGCTCTCTCATGGTTTATTCTCACCTCAGAGATTCTGGAAGCCTTTGGTGCTTGACTGTCAAATCTTGTCAATAAGTAAACGCTGCAAAGCCCTTTACCTCACTCATATCCTGCAGCAACAACTTCCTCAGGTGAGTTTATTTATACTAGACAATAACACTTTCCCTAAAACAAAGAACAAATATCTCTGTTGAGGTCTGGGACATGGTAAGGTCACAGAACTAACCTTTACCAGCTTCTTTTGGATACCTCTTCCAGCTGTATTAAACCCCATCCCTCCATCCCAACCTGTGTTTGGACATTCAACCCAGGCTACTGCTGCTCTCCTCTAGGATCAGCACATTTTTCATCTAAAAACAGGTTTCTCACTCATTTTAATCCCGTTTTAAGCACAGAATCATCAAGGTTGGAGGCGACCTCTAAGATCATTGAGTCATCATGAATAAGCCAAAGCACCTGCAAGTAAACTTTGTGTTCTCAGAGCAGGGAAACTCCCAATCCACACGAGGGCACCAGCACAACTCTGCTTTGCTCTTTATGGTTTCATCATCTGTGCCCGTGTATGGATGAGCCAGAGCTCTCCACAGACCTGATTCTGGGAATGTCACAGCACTTGGGAGTCAATGGTTGGACCTGATGATCTTAGAGGACTCCCCCAACGCTGATGATTCTATGATTTTGGCATGTTGGAGAAGAGATGCAGATAAACTCATATTAAATAGGCTGATGATGTTTGATGATGTTTGCTACCCAGGGTCAGGACTGCCTGAGCTCTCCATGATGGCAGTGCTAAAGTGTGGCATGTTTCCTTCACAAGGAGGGAGGAAAAAGTTGCTACTGTGCTTATAACTATAATTCCTTTTACTGTGCTTGTTATCCAGTAGCATCTGGACTCCAGACCAAGATCAGGATGACCCAGCAAGGTGAGCTTGAGCTGAGGTTGCAGCAGAGCTTAAGCCAGAGCCAAAGAAGGTTTATAAACAGGAGTTTAACTGCCTTGCAGTGCTCCTGGAGAGAGCAGCAGGAAAGGGCCAGACCAGGGGCTCACCTGGACGGCAGAGATGTGCATGCTGGTCCTCCTCATCCACACAGACTCCTAAGCACCAGGCATGGTAGGCAAAAGCAAAGAGGTCCTCAGGCTTGGCAGGGCGTGCGATGGCTCTGGTGAGCCTCTTCAGCCACTCCTGGCACTGCTTGAAGGTGGAGAAATGGCACCTGCAGAGCCAAAGGTAAATCACCTTCAGTGGATACATTTATCCAGGCAGAATGCATACACAGGGAGGCAGGAAAAGGAACACAGCACCAAAGCTGCTCATACAGCTCAGCATCAACACAGATACCTGATCACTTTGGAGTCCTTGCAGACAATGTGAAGCTGGAACATATCCCGACACTCCACGCTTTCCATCATCCTCAAAGGCACCTGGGAAGGACAGATGAAGGCATGACAAGGCAGAACACATGAGACAGCAGCCCCAGGTGCTGTGCCCACAGGCCCATCACGCTCAGTCACGGCTCCAGCAGCAATCACGAGCTGCTGGAGTGAACTACAAACCCACTCGGAGGGTTATGGAGCTTCATGACTCAGCACAGAGCTCCTGCCACGACTACTATTCTGATTTGTGTTCTGTCCCTGGGTACTCTCCCACCCGGGGCTAGTTACTGATTCAATCACATCCAGCTAGGCACAGGCAACTGAGCCAAAGAGCTGCAGTAAGAGATGGCAAGTGGAAGCAGCGAAATCCTCAGGCTCCCTCTGACGGGTGGTTAGAAGTCTCATTAAAACTGGTCTGCAAGAGACCTCAACAGCCATCAAACCACCAAGGTTAATGCTTGAATTTCAAGAGAACAGCAAAGGGAAGACCTAATTAGTACCCAAAGGAAACATCTAAATGCAGCAGCACCAGCAACTGCACACCCAGAGACAGCATCACGCCTGGCATCCCTCCAGAGACACTTTGCCATGCCACAGACCCCAGGAATGGGTTATTCCCAGCCCTCCCTGCCCTGAATTAGTGTTAGAGCTGATGGATCAGGCAGATCTAAACTTACATTGATCACAGAGTCCTTGAAATTGATGTGCAGGCGATAGTTAGAGATGGCAATCACAGCGTCGTTCGCATGGCCCAGGTACTCCACTCCCTCACCCTGCAACACAGTGAATGGCACCTGCAAGGGAGACAGCACCAGTTCAACACATACACAGCCACTCTTCCCACTGCTTCCACAGTGCATGTCCCGTGGGGAACCATAGCCAGTGTTGTGCTCCTCAAGCCCCGAGAGCAGACAACAGCATGGAACAGCACTGCTGTTCCCAGAACCCACTGTTCAGCCCCAGGGTACGGATCTCCTCCCTAGCATGTCTCCAGAGCCACTGAGCACCTCCTGAAGGATCACACTGACAGGGGAGGTGTGACCACACATGCTGTGCACACCTGGCAGTGAGGGTGTGCATGGGAACATAGGGACTGACAATCCCTGCTCCTGGGAGAGGGTAAACCAGCCCTGGTACAATGGGATGGTGAAGGACATGACCTCAGGGTGGCTCAGACATGAGCTGGGAGTGCTCTGCATAGCTCCAGGCAGAGCCTGACACCATTAGGAGGCATTGGAAGGGGCTGCCCAGGGAGGTGGTAGAGCCACCACCCCTGGAGGCATTCAAGGAACAACTGAATGTGGCACTCAGTGCTCTGCTCTGGTTGCCAAGGTGGTTGACGGGTCACAGGTTGGATTTGATGATCTTGGAGGTCTTTTTCAACCTTAATGATTCTGGGATTCTATGATGGATCAAAGACTTCTGCCCCAAGGCCCCACAGCTCCTGCTGTGTCACTTAAACATGAGGAGCTCTCAGCAGCACCACAACTCTCACTGGTACCATCCAGACAAGCAAAGTTTTGCTCAGTTTCTGCTAACAAGGCTCTGAGGGAATCTCTCTATAGAGTTGTTTGTCTGTCTGAGGAAGCTTGTCCTGCTTAAACCACAACAAAGCTTCATTAAAATTACCTGTAGCACATATCTTTTTAAAAACACCCAGATAATCAAGTGTCTCTGTGTTTCTCCCCATCAGCCTGGACATGCTGTAGCTATTTTTACACCAGGGGATCCTGGCAGACAGTCAAGTTTGACATTTCTTCTCTCATATTAAAAAAAAAAAAAAAAGAAAGGCAGAACAGCCTAAAATTCACCAGGCCCCTTTGTCCTTAGCGACTCAGGCTCCTGCTGTTCCCTGAATCCCACCTACAGCAGGTGATGTGGGGAACCAATTATGCAAGAAGTGTCAGGATGATTTATCACTTCAGCCAGAGCTGAAACCTGCCAGACAGGGCAGTGATGACACAGCTCATTACACTGTAATTAGCACAAGTCAGACCACCTTCTCTTTATTTCTATGCTGGTTTTATGACTTGGGGATGTGGTGCCTAAAAACCTGAATTCCCTGGATTTCAGACTTCAAGTGACAAATGGCCTAACAACTCCTCCCTTCTCTGAACACAATAAC